GGGGGAGGAACACGTGCGGCCGTTATAAATACGACGGATTTCCCGTCGGTATGCCGCTGCATTTGGAAATTCTCGACGGGACTCCCCCTCAAACGCTCTCCTCCTCCACCCTTATCCTTTCCATTACATCGCTCGCGCACGTCCATGTTTGATCGTCGCACTATCAATAAAAAAACAGACCTCTCGCGTAATTCTCTAGTATACACGATAGCCTAGAAAAGATGCTGCCAAACTTGGGAAGGTATTCTCCTCACGCTAAGGCCGAAGAAAAGTTGCGCAATAACTAATACATCGGCCTTATGGCACATCAAAATTCCCCAGCGATTCAACCCTCCCACGATTTCTTACAAAAATTCCGACATGATAAATTCACGGCAGTTTCTGAAGAGAATGAACGGGAGACATCGCCAGACATATGAAGGGAATGACAATTCTCGTATTTAATTTAGTCTGCTGATCGCGACGATGGAAATAATTAAATCAATATTATGATTTTTGCACAATAATTTTCGCTATTTTATACTGTCTTTCATCTTCACCGTAACAGAATAAACATTGACCAAAAGCTTGTCTTTAGAATTAAACATATGATAAAATAGATGATAGATCTTGTGAACGGACCTGCAAAAACTTTATAAATGCACTGTACGTCGAAATATCAAAGCGTACTTGGCGGAAGGAGTGCTCAGAAAGGAGAACAAAGTGTCGGGTTGCCATTATATTTATGGTCTTTCACAGAGATATCAACGCAATAAACACATTCACTGGGCCAATCCGACGAAGATAAACTGGGGGAATCGAGCATACGAGAGTCTGTGCTTCTGAGAAGGATAATATGCGGTCCGTTGAACCTTGAAACACGTCCATGTTTCCTTTTATTTTTACATTCTACCCCATTCGACACATTGTTGCTAACGTTTTTATCACGATTTCCCTATCGTAATTAAATCTTACCTGTATATAATTAAATAAAATCTGGAAATACGAATTAATTTCTCGTATAAATTGAATTAAATTAAAGAACAAAATCAGTTTCGGAAATAAGTTCTTCCACAAATACATGCATCGTCAACGTGATTAATTTCATCCTTTCATAATCTGTTAGATTTACTGTGCACTCTTCATGTTTGAATTCACATTGAGGCAAGTTCAAGTAACGAAGGGATAGACGAGAAGCGAGAAGTACATACGGTGTTTGTTGTTCCGCGACCGAAAACTGATTCGAGTGGAGCAAATTCAACGGGCTATTGTCCCGACGGAGAAATGGTCAGTTACGCGCGCAACGACGCTGACGTATGTACGTCGGATCGGCGTCGCG